CGTCAGGCACCCAGCAACGAACCGGTAGCCGGCGGCAGCACGCGATAGCAAGGGCCTCGACAACCCCGTCGAGCCCATCTTGCAGCCCGTCAGCGTCACCACACTGTTGTTGCCGATGCTCATTGCAGAAAAGGCGGAGTAGTACAACATCGCACCCACTCCCACGTCGTTGTCGCGCCAATCCAGCCAGCTTGACCGCTGGACGGTCCACGAGTTAGATGCATAGATGGCGTTGGACACAGGACCGCTGTTTCCCACCACGCGCAGCACGCTGTGATCCGACACGCTGAATTTTTGCTTCTGATACAAGAAGCTTGTCCCGGAGTCCATTGTGTTGTTGAGCAGCGCAAAAACAGAGTGATCACTGACACCGATAATGTGCACGTAGAACAGGTGTGTGTACCCACCGAAGCTGCAATACCGCACGTACAGCGAGCTGCCACCCACCAGCGTCAGTGTCCCGGTCGAGTACAAACCAAACAAGCCGTGCCTCGGTGCATTCGCCTTGACGCTGCTGACCAACAGCGAGGACGCACTCAACACTACGTTCTTCAGCATCACAACGCTCCACATGTTGTTCACAGATTCCGGCAACCGGACCTCAGAGAACTGCACCGCGTCAACGTCCGTGACGGCAATGTCGCAGTGCTGCGGGAGGGCAAGTGAAAACAAAGCAACGGAGGACCGCATCACCGTCTGGCTCACGCGGATCAGGACGCCGGCTGACTCGGACGCCTCATTACCCCCAACAAACTGCAGCACAGCCCCGTAAAGGAATGTGCACCCAGTAAGCGTGATGTTGATGGGGAGATGCAGCGGCATCCGATTGAGGGAGAACGTCAGCACAGCGCCCACGCCGCTGAATGTCACACCCGCGTAGCAGTGGTGCGTCCTCCACATCTTTACCGCAAGGTTCGTCAGCGTCTGGTTCACCACGCAGCTCGTGTCGCCGTCAACGGCTCTCTCCGGCAAGGGGAGCACAACCGTGTCGGGCACCTCGAGGGGAAAACACGACGCGCCATGCCATCCGTCCTTGCAGCTGCACGAGCACGAGCCGCGGTCCACCGACTCCGTCCCGGGCATGTAGCACGCCGCGTCGTCGTTGCATGTGCCACACCCGAACACCACCACGCCCTCCGGAAACACACCGTCGTACGACACCTCCTCATCTCCCTGCAGGTTGCACCCAACCACAAACCGCGCGGGTGACGCGACAATCGTGCTCCATGGAACAATTTGCGCAAAGGCTTTACTCGAGTCCGCCTGAATGTTGTGTGCAAGCACCACGGTAGTGCCGCTGTCCGACAGCTTAATTTTGTACAAGGAATTAGGCATATCTATTACTGAGGCTGCGCTCACGCCGTTGCCCTCCACACGCCACTGCGCACCGCCCTGGAGTGTCAAAGAGCCGTCCCAATGCACCAGCGCGGGATCAAAAAACAGTGCGAAACCAATAAAGATGCAGTCTGCCACTCGCAGCAACCCCGCGGAGCTCACAGTGGTATCCCCATAAAAATAAATGCCACTGCCTGCGCTCATCGTGTTGTTCTCCACGCCAAAGTAGCCACCATTCTTCACAACAGCAAATTCAAACAAAAAAGCAGATTCCAAATGAACGTCCTCCTCCGCTCCCCTCAGCGTGTTTCCCCTTATAATGATCCCGCCATCATCAACAAAAACAAAGGAGAAATAGACTGCGTAAATTTCCCCTTCAATAAGGTTGTCAAGTAACAGTAGCGTCGAGTTCGCACCGAGAGAAAACAGCAGGCATTGAATGGCGCGGCGCGACGTCATCACAAGCGTACTACCCGCCACCAGTATCCGGGAGCTCGTGCCAAAATCACCCCTAAACTCCAAATCACCGGCATCCATCATCGAGGAGACCACGCTCACGTGCACGCGTGCACCACTCCCTCTGATCGACAGGCCCATAAGGACGCACTGCAGCAGCGTGATGTTGAGTGTCTGTTGTGGTGCGTCGAAGCTCCACAGGTCCAGCACGATCGCGGCGGTGAAGGTCACGTTGACAAAGCACAGACCACGCACACCGGAATCAGGATAGTCCACGGAGCTGATGCTGCCACCGTGAACACAGCGGACCTCCGTGTCCTTCGCGTCAGGGAGCGGAAGCGGCCCAAGACCGTCCGGAACAGCAGCTGGCACACACGTGTCACCGTAGCCGCCAGCAGCGCACTCACACTCACAGCCGCGGATGCTGCTCGTCCTCGCAGCAAAGCACACGGCGTCCACGGTGCACGCGCCACAGTCCAGCAACGTCACGGGCGCCACAATATTGAGCTCTTCTCGGTAATCCATCACAGGAAATCCCCTTGCCTCGTTGCACACGCCGTAGATGATCGGGCTCGAGTCGGATGGTAGTGACCAGTTGCTTGTCATGTGTGCATGAGTCGACGAGTACAAGCCGTACGTAAGTTTGTTGTTAAGTATCGACCACACACTCCGATCGCGGAACGCCACGCCGTTCTCCTTGACCACGTACACAACGTAGGCGGCGCGAAACTCGTTGTCGCGGTGCACCAGCCAGCTGCCGTCAGTCACGGTCAGCGTTTCTGCAATGAGCATGGCGAAGCCAAGACGGAAAGTGCCGGACACAACCTGCAGCACGCTACCACCATCCAAAACAACATCCCTGAACACACACGCGCCTTCGTACATGTTAATGCTCGACGCAATCCAAGAGCTGTTCTGTATGGAGAACACGGAGCCGCCGCTCACACGCAGGTCCGACGCAAAAGCGTACATCACGTGCGTCCGCGACATAACAGCGCAGTTGTCCATGTAGAAGACGCTGGACAGGTTCACGTCAAGGCCGCGCTCCATGAGGATCGCAGCGCACAAGCCCCCGCCACAAAACAGCGTCGACCGCGTCATGACAAACCGCGTCGACAGCAGCCGGACACCGTCCAGGACAAGCGCGGGGCCGTACCGGGATCCTGCGTGGCCAGGAGTCGTCGGCACGTACTGCGACCCGCCAACCGTCGCGCGCAGCGTCGAGTTCGCCAGCAGCACACTCGAGTTCGGCGGCATCGCGCCATGCAGCACGACCGTGCCCTCCAGCGACGTCACATTCGTCATGTTGACGAGAGCGTGGGGCATCAGGCGCGCCGTGCTCTCGCTGAAACCACCAATCCGCAGCTGCGACCCGCCCGCAAGTACGCAGTGGCGCAGCGTCACGTTCAGCGAGTCAGCGAACGCGTCCATCGAGCGCAGGTCCACCGCCACAGTGATCGGTCCGCTGAACACCACCGAGTCGAAGCACGCCGTCGCACGCCCACCGCCAACCGTCACCGACTCCGTCAGCGTCACGCCACTCACGCAGCCCTCCACACCGCCACCACCGCCACCGGCCCTCGCAGGCGACACGTCGAACGGCAGGCACGCCTCGCCCATACCGCCGGCACGGCAGCCGCACACGCAGTCAGAGAACGACGCCGTCAGCGCATCAAAGCACGCCAGCGCAGCCGCACAGCCGTCGCACGGCACCACGCTCACGGAGGGCAGGCCGGCCATGCGGTAGTCGCCGCTGCTCTGCAGCACCTGGCCGCCGGCACGGTTGCACTGCACCGACACGACGCCGCTCGTGATCGTCAGCCCGGAGACAAGCGTCGCGCCGGTGGCAACGCAGCGCGCAATCGACACGGCGCCACCACCCAGCGTCACCCCCGACAGCGACGCCACCGACGACGCCTCGCCCACCGCCCACACGTCGCGCAGCTCCAGCCACCCGCCGGCACCGACCGTCCCACCGTCGCAGCGCACCAGCGACGACGCAACAGGCCCCTCGACGCCCACGAAGCGCAGCACCGAGTCGGACACCGCGAGGCGCTCTCCAAGCACAAAGCCGCCGCCGCTGCTCAAAACCGACACGTTTGTCACGGAGAACACCGAGTGGCTCCGCAAACTGAGACGCGACGAGGACGCCACATGCATCGCGGACGCGGTCGGACCGCCCGACGCCTCCAGCAACACGCCGCCAAGCACCACCGCGCTCGACAGCAGGTCCACGCCGCCGCCAACGTACACCGCCGACCCACCCGCGTGCAACGACCTCAGCACAGTGTTGCTCACACGCAGCTGCGTCCGCAACAGCGACGTCGCGTACAGCACAAGCGGCGACGCCACCGCGTCCGTCAGCCCGCTCAACTGCGAGTAGCGCATCGGCCCCGCCGTCACAATCGTCGAGTCACGGACCGTCACGTTCGTGTGTGCCGGCAGGTTGTGCACAAACGCGAGCGAGCAGTAGATCCCCGACAGCCCGCTCACGCTCACCTCCAGGCTCCGGTCACTCGCCGGCTCACCGCCGTAGCCCCGCACGTAGATCTGTGCACCGCCGTCGCACACGCAGTTCCTCAATTCAATGCGCAGCGCGCCGGGAAGCATCGCCGGCACGTCGAACACCACAGCCACGCCGTTCGTGATGCACACGCCGTCCATCAGCACCGTGTCCACGGCGCGGCCAACCGTGATGGCTCTGTCCACCGTGCCGCCCCGCAGTCGCAACACCACCGCATGCACCGCGGGCATAAACGCCGCAGCAGCAGCCAGCGCCAACAGAGCAAGCAGCGTCACACGCACAGCCGCAATGGCCCTGCACCGCACACAGTGCCGGCTGCGCGGACACGCACCCACCGCAGACCACATCCACCAATCCAATCAAGTGTCAATAGGTCTGTCGTGGCGTTTCGCTCTTGCACCGTCGACCGTAACTCCTGCCCAGCAAATCCTTTTCTACAGATGGCAAATCCAGTGACACAATTCCGATAAATCGTTACCCCACTGCTACTAGTCCTAATAAAGCAAGTAATCCCTAACACCTTAAAACGATAGTTGTGCTGTTCAAACCAAAGTATCTCTAACTGCAGCCTCAAAAAAAGAAAGAGTCAGCAACAACAGCAATAAACACTGGCACGCAGAGGCATCCGGCCGCGGTCAGTCCCCACCAAAGCACAACCACCGACACAAAAAAGCACAGACGCCATCACACCAGTGAAATCATCGCTCTCCCACCGCCCACGCAGCTCCACACAGCCACCATGCAGAGTGGCGGGATTCCAGCAAAAAGACATATGATCATTGGCACCGCTCTTGCAACCAAATGGTTCTACCACAGTGCAGTCCCGATGCAGTGAAAGACACACAAGGGCCTAGACAGACACACGTGGCGGTGTTGCAACCGGCAGCCATCGAGCGCGTCCGAGCACGAGGCGGTGACACGGAAGAGGAGTGGAGGATTTGCCGTTCGGCTGCAGTCAAGGCGTCGTTCCTCGCTCACGTGGGTCGGCACTGCACAGCGAGCAGCGGCATCATAAGCGCACACGAAGCACACGAGAAGGAAGAAAGAATAAGCACGGTGGCGGCACCCAGACACGGGGGACAAGGGTCCACGTCGATTGTACGGTCTGTTGGCTCATAGACGCCCGGTTTGCAATCACGCCGCTGCCCTGCAGTTCGTCAGTCTGCAGTGGTCTGAAAGGATGTAGGGAAGGGAGAGAGAGAAGGTGCAGCCCTCATCGATCTCGGTTGGGTGTGAAAACGGTGAGGTCATCTCATCAGATCACCTGTAGCAAAGAAGTTCGATGTAATCACTGGGCACGGACATCCAAAAGCTGACGCTGAAAAAAACAAAGGTTTTGGCTTCTTTGAGGCGTTTCCAACGCAAAGGTGAGCAGTCACCACCAGGCGCATTCGTACCCCATCAAAAGGCGGTAAACTTCACCGTCTCCATGGCCTGTCCCACGCGACAAACAGCATTGAAGGTCCGACGCGTTCTTTGGGGCCATGTTATTCCGTCCGCAGCACGTGGCGGTGACACGGAAGAGGAGTGGAGGATTTGCCGTTCGGCTGCAGTCAAGGCGTCGTTCCTCGCTCACGCAAACCATCGCCGACGTGTCGCAGTACGCAACGAGATATATGGCGAAAAGGCTCCCTGCGCCACCCACAGCAGGAAGGTCAGTGCCGCACACACAACGCCCACTAGAAAACAGCGCAGCAGCGGCCGCTCTCCGGCAAGCAGCACAGCGATAAACATCAAGCAGGCATGCACACATACACATGCATGCCGCAAAGCCCTTGGATTGACTGCGTGATCCAGCAGCGACCGCAACAAAGTCCAAAATCGTACTCGTTAGCAACGTCACCCACGTCGCGCTGCAACAAAAAGCCATGCGCACAGCACACACACACGGCAACAACAAAACGAACGAGGCGCGTCCAAGTCCACGGCGCAGTCCTTCACTTCTCCCCGCCCCGACAGAATATCACTGCGCCCCACAGCAGGTCGTGGTGGGTGGCGTCCCACACTCAAGAGTGAGGCACGGCGCACACCATCCGCTCCACTCCGAGTGCACTCAGCAGGCCGGGGCAGGACGCCCAGTCACCCCCGTGCCATCGATGCCTCTAGCAGAAAAGAAAAAGCTATGGGGACATTTCAACGGCACAACCAGCAGAGGGACAGTCAACGGGAAACGAAGACACCCATTGGAAGTAGGCACGGCACAGAAGAACACGAGCCGCAGTGATTTACCAAAAGAAAAAAAGGTGAGAAACAAAAGGGTGGGAGCCTGGCGGGATTTCACAAACGTAAAAAAAAAAATTGGTGAATATTATTGGGCAGGACTTTTATTACGTGTGCCATGCAGCAAAAGACGACCGTGTGTTTGTGTATGCATATTCCCTGCACCAGAGAAAAAAAAAATTGGAGCAAAAAAAAAGATCGCACTCCCCCACCAGCCCACAGAACATCCCTCATATTCCATGCGGCATCCGGCCTGCTCCGCCACTCCTCGTTTTGTGCACTCCGCCGGACGCGCAGCAGTGACGCCGGCACCGCGTGTGGGCATCAAAAGAGAAACAAAAGTCGGAAACACGTCGCTCATAACGGATTGTAGCAAACGGCCATTGAAAATAAGAAAAAACACAGCGGTGCTGATTATTCCAATAGAGCACCAGCCGCAAAAAGAAAAATAAAACAAAAAATAATAATAATAAAAGTTAGAAAAAACAAAAGAAAAAAATGGGCCCCTGACAAAATTCGGTGAGTAATGCTGGGAAGCTGCACATTTGTTGCTCCACGAGAAGTCGCAATTCCACCCTCCCTCACACCTCAGCAGAGAGCCCGCAGTGGCCCACAGCCCCGGAAGCAGCAGCAATAGTAGCACACGAGAGACTCACACCCATGCACGTTGCTGTCGGCCCTTAGACCCATGGACACCAACTCGGTGATATTCTCCAAGTCAAAAAGGTCATTGCCCAAGGGCGGCGCTGCGTTGAACTCCGATGGGATCTTGGACTCCGCAGGCGCTGTGCTCGGATGAGTCGGTGCGGTGCCAACGCCGTCCAGCACACTATCGTTGCGTTGAACAGTTGCTGGGTCTGTGCGGGGCTCAGGGATTTCTGTGGCGCCATCCGCGGGCGTCGCGTCGGTGGTGCTGAGTGAATCGGGGCCGCTGTTCGTGCCCACGGC